TCTTTCATATCACACATCACAGGCTTGATACAGAGTTCCGAATAATACTCGGCGACCGTCAGAAACTTTATCCGTCTATAAAGAATACTTTGTCACTTTTGTTATTCGCTAGACCTTATGAAAAAACAATTGTGCAAAAACCAAGACGCATCAGACGGGCTATACTCAAGGCAAAGTGGCAGTTGAATAATTTGCAAAAGTGACCGGCATTATGCGGTGCGTGATGGTAAAACCGCGTGCTTGTGCATTGCTGTGCTCGATCTCAATTTGCAGATAAGTGTGTGAAATGGGTGAGAGTGAAAGACAAGACGTGCACTTTTGCTTACTGCTAACCGGGAACTTACTTTTCGTTCTCCTCTTTGTGCATCCTTTGCGCTTCCCTTTTATCGAATCCGTTCGTCACTAGAGCATCCAGGGCCAGTGACTGCACTAATTTCTTGTCACCTGAAACGTGAAATCACAATGTGAAATCAGTGTTATTACCTACTTTACTTTAACGCAACACTTGTCTTGTGAATTATTTTATCAAATCTTGGATTTATTATATAGATACTATTAAATTATTAATGCGACGAGCACTTACAATAATAAGAATCTTTATCCGGCTTGCTCGCCTGCTTGTGATGCGAGCTTGGACTCCTTGGTCTCAAGGACATCCATTTCCATCCCGGCCTGCGCGTTCGTGACAGGAAGTGCACGACGCGTTCTTCCGGGGAGGAAAATATTTTATCGGAAGCCGAATTATATTCGCAGTAAACCCAATCGGGATGCACTTTCCAGTTGCTTCCCTTGAAATACTCCGTTACTGCAATGCAACATGTAAATCCAGCATTATCGTGGACGCGCTAGTTTCTTCATTAATTTTATAACAACGCGCGATTAAAAAGGAAACTTTTACCATTTACGATAGTGAGTTTGATTTCCTGCTCGGCCCGTACTTCAAACATCCCGTAACCTTCTGGAAGAGCCAAGCCTAAGGAAAACGGAGTACCCTCGATTGGCTTGTAAAAATAATTGTGCCGCCTAATCGTAACTCTTTTCTGCAAATAAATAAATATTGCATAATACGGAAATATCATCTTTATGCCGTGTAACTGCTCTTGTTTATAATAACTTCTTACCATATCGTCATAATGTATTTTGATTGTAAAGTCCGTTTCGCCTTCCTTTTGATCGATCATATCGCGTCTCAGCTGGAAAAAAAATACTATCGATGTTATATACAATACATGTTGTAAAAATGATAGAGAAAAGCAGAAATACCCTTACATCAAGCAGGAGCGAATTGTTCGGGAGAGCCGAAGGCCCATCATATTCTGCGAGTTCAACTTCCGATAGATCTACACTTATATACGAAGGTTTCAACGTTTCTTCATACTGAAAAAAAAAAGTTATAAAACATTTTAACTCTGCTTTCGATTTCTTATAACTTTTTAATAAAGCATTTTCAAGAAGAGGATTTTTCGTAATCTTTTCATTTACTTTTACTTCATAATACACTATATAAATTTGATCCCTATTTTATTAGATACTTTGTACTTATATGTATATAAACATATTTTCGTACTTACTTCTGTGTTTCCAGGCTGCATGAAACATTCATGTAATATTAGTATCGTTTTATATTTCTCTCCACACAAAGAAAAGAAAAATAAAAAAGACAAATATAAAAAAGAAAATAAGAAGAGGAAGAAATTGACAAATTTTGTTCTATAAGTCTAATAATTTTTTGAAATTGATAATTATTTTAAAAATTTATATATGTATGCTATAAAAGAAAAGAATAACATATAACAATAAAAAAAATTATTTTAGCACGATGCTCACGAGAAGCCGCAGGTCAGGATGATACAGAACTCTGCCATTATTGTCAACAATAAACGAATATCCATTAACTCCTAACTGTAATGTGAAAAAAGTCATTATTAATATGCGTTATTATGATATTAATAGTCAACGAGAAAAATATATAAATACGAGCTGGTTGCACTAATTTTATGATAAGTTGAGTATATATTCTCTTTCTCTAAGTTCATATTTTTCCAGAAATAAATCATATAATTTAATTTTTTAAAGCTATATTCTCTAAGCTCTATATTCAAAATGGAATTCCATAAAAACATCTAAGAAACTATTTTTTTTCAGAAAGGGTTAAATATTTTTGAAATCAAATTATTGGTACAATCAGGCTGAAAAATGACGAAGAAAATATTAGTACCTTGTAAGGCGGCACGAGTTTCTGAATCTCCTCGACAGGTACATCAGTACCGACAATACCCAATAAATTGGCCGTTTTCACCTTAGAATGATAACACACGGTGAAGTAGAAGACATTTATTTGTATATTACTTCACACACACACATATTTTATATTAAAGTGACGCTCGTGTAATATTAAAGCGCGTCACACGTTTTTTTTATTTTGTTTTTAAAATATATAATTACCGTATAATTTCGGCGATCTAAAATCGGAGCTGTCACGGAGGTCATCAGCTGGCCCCGATTTTCTCTGCCGAATCTACTACTCTGAAGGTCAATTGTTATTAATGTAGAAATGTCACAAAATATTATGTATAACGAAATGTGACAACAGAATGCAATTGATATTTATAAGAATTTTTTGCAAAATATAATATAATAATTATTTATAATGTGAATTAAATTGCTTACTTTTCCGCCTACGTAAGCGGGACTCCAGTGAAGAGGATGATCATGCTGATAGAGTACCATAGGCCGTGCTAAAACCTTCACGTACTCGAAAACTTTATTATGGATCTCGTCCGCGTTCGTTATTCTCGCATAAAAGCCTAAGAGATCAACATCGTTAACATAAAAATGGAAAAAGTTTCGTTTCTTAAATATTTCATATTTTCTAATCGATTATCAATTTCCTCTCATAATTCTTCATACATTTTTAATGGCTTTTATTTAATTATTTTTAAACTCTCTTAAAACAAAAAAAAAATAAATTCTACATGAAAAGAATGAGAAAAAAATGTAAAATAAGATTTTTAAAAATTTTGTTTTTGAAAAAAGTAATTTTAAAATTAAAAAAGTTCATATCTACACTCTATTGTTTTCGAATTGAATAATTAATAAACTTGTTAATTAATTAATACAATGTTTCATTTTTAATAAAATTATTTTAAAAAATTTGGATTATCAACAAAATAAAACAAATCCATCGATACACGATACACGATTTTTAAAAGCCATTCTAAAAAAACATATATGATTAATATTCCAATTTTTTTTTTTTAATCATTTGTTTTAAAAAAATAATTTCGTGCAAAAGTTTAATTATATATTTTCGACTTATTCTTTTTCATGTAGAATCATCAGAAGATTTTTAGATTACTTATTGTATATTTTGTGTATCTATATAAATTCTCGACGAATAACGTTACCCTTATTGGTGCAGGCCGTGTTCCGGAGATCGGGACTCTTGTCGCCACCGATAAGATAGGTGAAGATTCGAACGGGCATATGCGGCCAATTGTAACGTTTTATCACTTCCGTGGGTGGGCCGTCGGTGTCGGAGGTGATCAACATAATGGCCTGGTTGCACTGGCTCCCCTGGCCGGTACGATTATATTTGTGAAGGATCTCGAAGGCGGTGCTGAGCGCGGCTGAGATGTTGGTCGCGGAGTCCTCATGTTTCACAGTGCTTAGAGCCACCTTCATCTCGTGAATGTTCTCTGGCGACGCCTGCACCAGGCTGTCCTTGAAGCACTGCACGATTTCCTCGGCATTCTCGCCATAGCGATATACGTTCACGTAATCGTCCGGCCCCAGGGTGTCCAGGACGACCTTAGTGGCGGCTATCGTTAATCGTCGGTTCCGATCGGACGTGTACGTCGCGCTATCGATCAATATCGCTAAATCCTTCGGACTATTTGCCGCCCCAACGAACCAATTTGACATTCTGAAATCGTACACGTCGCGAACGGCCCGATGATGCGAGGAGGACTTGGATGATCCGAACGTACTCTCCATCGGCGGCCACGATATCGCTGTAAAATACAAGTGTGGGGTGCACTCGCAACTTTTGCGCAATATTTAGTAAAAAAAGTACGATCGCGATTGCCTTATTTTTTTTTTCAGCTATTTATTAAACGCATTAAAAACATATTTCTTATAAGATACGTATTTTAATTTTTTTCTCATTTTATAAAAAAAATGTTTGAAATAAGAATCTCATAACTTTAGAAAAAAAATAAGAAGTATGTGTGTATTTTCATTAGACATTGAATATTAAGTGATATTAAGGATATTATTTAAATGGCTTTTAACATACAACTCCTTTTTATATAATTTAAAATTCCTTTAGTTGTTTCGGCATTCTACATATGAAAACATTAAATGCAACTAAAATCAAAGTTTAAAAAATGAAGTATATTTCATATTTTATTCTGGCATATTTAATTTAACTTAAAACATGACATATTTGTAAAATATTGGTTTTTCAATAGTTTTGCTTTATGGAATAATGAGTAATTCTGCATGTTTACAAAAATATAAATGTGCAAACTAATGTGCAATGTACATATTACACATTAAGTAAATACCTGGGAATCGACGTAAGAATCCTGTTGTCGCTCCGTAATATTGCCACGACAGCGTCGGGTCGCTCTCGTAATTATTAACAAACAAGAGGTCCAAATATTCGCTCCATTGAATACCCGAGGCAACGTCACGCTCTGCAAATAAAGGGGGTCGATTTGCGATGAACGTCAGATTACTTTTCAGAATACGATAATGACTTTTTCTCATTCAAACCAACGTGCAACGCGCATTTATCGACTTGATATCTTATTAAATTCTGTCGCAGCTAATTCGTCGCGCTCACCATCGTCTTTGACTCCATTTGGCAGGAGCACGGCGGACAAGCTAACGTTCACTGCTAAATGATCAAAGTGGCGATTCGCAGCGAGGAACACCTCCTGCGGACCACCCTTTTCATCACTGACGAAGGCATTAAGCCGATGCGAGGCGTAATACTTGGGCGACACGTTTCCTTCCCTCGGCGTCGATACCGCGGCTTGCTCGGCGCTCTCCACTAATCTCTGCGAACATAACGGATTACGTTATATTTTACAATTTACACATTTCCATTTAGCGCTAAGCTTCAAACGAATCTGTAACGTGTGTCAGAATTCGAGAGCTGGAGAGAGAGGTAGAGTAATTTTATTTCTTCTCATGATGCAAGAAGCTCTTGAAACGTAAAAATAAGCACGGTATTTCGAGATGTGCACACGGATCTCACCTATCAATAGATATTTTTGATGATATAACCGTGTACATATCTCGAAATACCGTGCTCACGTTTTCACGTTTCAAGAGTTTCTTGCATCATGAGAAGAAACATAAAATTAGAAATAGAAAGTTTTTATCGTAAATTATTAGCTTTCTCAATTAATCAAGCAAACTTAAAAACTTAAAAATAATTACTGTTCCATTTCATTTAGTATTTATTTTGGAGTTCATTCACGTGATGTGTAAATAATAATAATAATCAATGCTATTCAACATTAATTTTAGACCGCGTAAATAAATAAGAGCAAGAGTTTTTATGCGACTTCTTTTATTTTAAAATTTTTCGGTCGCTTTTAAAATAATTTCTCCTCTCTACTATGTAAAGGAAAGATTTCGCGGTTTAGATTGTTCCAATCGAACGGTTTCAGATGCATTAAGACGGGTAAGTTGTCCTGACGACGCAGGACGGAAGGGAGACGGTTTATATTAAGGGAGAGGGCGCAGTTGCGAAATCATAAAGCTACCGCCAGGTTATGCGCAATTCGTGATTTGTGATTCGGCTTTCGCGATTTATGATAGATTTGCAGAAATTCATCGTTTATCGATGTAAATTCACCAACATTATATTTTCCATCTGTATCAACGATTCGAAGAAAAAATTTATTTATAGCTTATTAAACTAGCCTCATAAAATGATCGACAAGGAAATATAAATAACATTACCTCACTGACCCTTGCATTATGTGACAAGCGCATTTCTTTCATTATTTAACATAAATAACATAAAATTGAGATTAAAGAAAAAGTAAGAGAATATTTGTTAGCATACCATCACGGCGTTCATTTTAAAGTCCATCATGTTCTTCACCTCCGAGGCCATTTCCCGAACGAGGACGAGACCATCCCTTTTTATGACGTTGGCCTCCACTTCGTGATATTTCTAAGCGTGAAGCAATAAAAATCGGTGCATAAACGGGCGAAATTACAAAATGCGTTAAAAAAATAATTTGAAAAGAGATTTTTAAAGATCGCTCGCTTTACTGCGAATACTTAAAATGTGGCACAACTACTAGGATATTTTTATTAAAAGTTTGCTTAATAAAATAAATATGTAATGTTAACTCTATAGTTAACTCTATAGTTATAATTAATTTAATTAATTTTATATATATATATATATATATATATATATATATATATATATATATATATATATATAG